CGCGCCGACGAAGCGATGACGAGATGACAAGATCCCCTCCCACGGTCGGCTCGCCCCCAGTCGGCTGCGCTGGCGGCACTTCAGGCCAGCCTCCTCGGCCCGCTCCAGTCGGCGGCGATGGCTCCGCCTTCCTCTCCATCTCCGGCTGGCCGCGGCTGGCCTCCTCCAACGGGGGCACAGGGGTGTCGGGAGCCGCGGCGCGGAGGGGAATGACAAACTGCGGAGGCTGGTTCTGCAGGGCCTCCGCCTCCCTCTCCGCGTCTGCGGCCTCCGCCGACTTCTGCTTCGCCTCTCGAGCCGCCCCCCGCTCCTCCGCCTCCCGCTCCTCCCGCACTTCCCGCGTGTTCCGCTCCGTCGCCTCTAGGAGGTCGGCGCGGGGAACTACCCGGCGCGAGCTTGAAGACCCTCCTATAGCTCCGACTATGGAGGCGACCGGGACTCGCCCAAGGGAAAGAGGGGCCCTGTTTGATAAACCGAGAAGAAGGGTTTGGAAAAACATCAACGGAAGAAGAAGAAAAAAGAAAGGCATGAGAATAGCGACACTTACGCTGAGACCGCCTGCGGCTGCTTCACCACCTTCCGGAAGCGGGCTGCCTTCGCGGCCGCCTCGTCCCGCTTGGTCGCCGCCGCGGTACTCTTGGGCTTCTTCGGCCGACTGCCGAAGTGGATCGACACGGCCCGACACTTCTGCGCGCCGCCATGGGCAGTTGGCCCGGCGGATGGGCCCGCACCATGGTGATCGGGCGCCGGTCGGCGGCGCAGAATGACTTCGACCTCGTCGTCATCTGTCCAGTCCTCAAAGCCGGCCCCGAGCCCGGACCCGCCTGCGTCGCCGCCTTCCCCCGCGATGTCGTCCTCCATGGCGGCCGCCCCCAGGTCCGGGTCGTCTACATCGTCCATCGTACGGTCGGGGACGAACTGGCGTTCCACCCCCGCGGCCCCGGCTGCTGGCGGAAGCATGGGGTTCTGCCAAAGAAAGGCCGGCTGGTCAGGAGTCGGCCACCATGAACTCGGCAACAAGCAAAGAGAAAGAGGAAGAGAAACTTACCACCGGCGGAGGATTGGCGCGAGAGTACGGCAAGGGTGCCGTACTGCCACTCCTCGGTGAGCTTGCAGTTGGAAATATAGTTTACCATGTAAGACACCTCGGTGTGAGGCATCTCCTTGGTGCTTAGCCGGCACGGGTCAAAGCGGCCGCTCATCTGGCAGATCATATGAGGTCGGCCCTGGAGCGGGAGCACCCGGCGCTCCACGAAGGTGGCCACCAGATCGGCCCCGGACAGACCCTCCGACTAGATCATCACCCGGAGCCGGGCAACAGAGGCGGACCCGTCCGGAGACAACGACCTGGACCGGAAGGACCATGAAGACTGCCTCCCAGCCGGCGGGCCGGCTACGTAAGCCGGCAGGTTGACAAAGTCACCTTGCGGAGCAATATTCTTCACGTAGAAGTAGGACTTCTGTCAGAGCTTCACCGACTGGATCAGCGGGATGGGCGGAAACGGGTTGTTGTCGCTCGTGCTCCGCATGGTGACGAAGGCGCCGCATGGGGTGGGCACGCCCGCGACGACGGTGCCGAGCTTGCACTGAAAGAACTCTCCCCACAGTTCAAGAGTGGGGAGGACGCCAAGAAAACCCTCGCATAGGGTGACGAAGGCCAACAACAGCATCACCACGTTGGGAGTGAGGTGATGCGGCTGGAGATGATAAAATTCAAGGAACGAGCGGAGGAACCCGCTCGCCGGCAGGCCGAAACCGCGCAGGCAGTGCGAGCGGAAGATTACCCGCTCGTCCTCTTCCGGCGCCGGCGAGATCTCCCTCTCCGGCGCGAGGCGGACCCGCACGAGATCCGCGCCCGGCAGCCGCCGCGTCCGACGGAGGAAGTCGACGTGGTCGTCGTGGACGTTGGAGCCGTCCCAGGAGCTCGAAAACGCCATGGGGACGGCGAGAAAGGTGCGGCGAGAAAGGTGTGGCAAAAGGAGGGCGCACGACCAGGCTGCGACGAAGCAACGACAAGCCAAGAAGGTTGGCAGGAAGGCCGAGTGGCAGCAGGTAGCTGTCGCGACGAGAGGAGGAGGAAGAAGGAGGAGGCAGAGCGAGGGAGAGCGCGCGAGTGTTTGGCGCTCCCCTCCTCTCCCCCCTACTTATAGCCTCACGCGGCGAAGCCGAGGAGGCAGGACATGAGGGGATGTGGGATTAACTGCACCCACTCCCCCACGCCCCGCAATTATTGCGCCATCACGGCATGAGGAAACCTCCGCTGGGGCGCGCGCGGTCCGTTCGGGCCGCAGAAGATCCACGCATGGGCCGAGGCCCTGTAGTGGCAGGCCCCAGACTGCGGCGGCGTCCCGTCGCGCGCGTGGGCTGGCAGGCCCCTCCAGCTGGAGGATGCCACGTGGCGCACAGACGACGAACGGTCAGCTCACAGCCGGACTCGCACGCTGACTGGCACCCGCCTTCAAGCTTTGAGATCTCTAGGAGACGACGCGCCTAGTCGAAACCGGCTCCTAGTTCCCGGCTCCTCAAGATAGGAAGCTGACTGAGCTCCTCGTCTTTTTTCTGCCTCGGAGCCCAACCAGCTTCGGGGACTACTGTCGGAGTAAATGACCACGGGTAGCCTAGCCGGCTTCCCCTGGCACTTCAGAAAAATTATAGGCCGATCAAGCCTCCAAGCGTCCAAGACATGGGGCCGCCTTCCCCCAGCCGGCTACCTCTCAAGCCGGCTGCGCAAAGGCGGCCCAACCCTGACATCCTTGAGAAACCAGACCACAAGAAGGCCGACTTCCAGAAGCCGGCCATGAAAAGGCCGACTCCCAGGAGTCGGCCCCTCAGCAGGCGGCTAAGATCTTGCCCTCAGAGTCTGCACCCACATAACGGCGACAAGACGGGGCGTGGCTACAGTAAAGCCTGCCACCCCCGAATCCCGACGCGCGCATGGCCACAGTGCACCGTACGGGGTGGCCATCACTCGTCCGGCGCGACACTGTTGCCACGATGATCGTGACGTCACCCACGGCGAGCGGTCAGTACGACCCGTGGGTGGCGGGCCCCCTCGGTCAGGGAGATCCCAAAGGTGGCCGGGCTTCCCATAGTCGGCCAAGGGTATGGCCGGCTTCCAATAGCCGGCCAGCTCTCTCCCTCCAAGGAGGTGTTTCATCAAGGAGACAAGAGAAGGTAAGGCTACAGTGATGAGCCGCCCCGCGGCGGCACTGTAGCCATGCTTACCACGACAAAAGCATCATCACCAGGGGCAAGGTAACAGTAACCAGCCCCCGACAGGACCCCCGAGCGGTGGGGCCAGCCTGTCGACCAAAGGGTCGGCAGCCGGCGGGCCCACCAGTCGGCGGAGAAGCCGGCGGGCGTAGACACAGACGGCCAGGACCCACGCCCAGCCGGATTACCATTGTACTCCTGGGGGTAGGCCTATATAAACCCCCAGGGTTCCCATGCAAAGGGGATCGCTCTTTGGATAATTTTTAGACACCACAAGGAGAAGAGGAGCGGGCTGGCCTGGCCCTCCTTCATCCCTACACCGAACAGCTCAAGGAGCATTCTGTAGCTACCCATCGAGCTAGTGATCATGCGGAGACCCCGCAGAACAGCATTAGGGGTGTTATCTCCACAGAGAGCCCTGAAGCTGGGTAAGATTCGCCGGCGTGCATGTCTTCGCCTTATCCCGTTTCCAGGCACCGACGATGTTTTATTGGCTCCCACAATGATAAGCCATCCATTGGCATATGCCGCACCAACCACCCGACACTTGTCCTTTGCTACAAAAAGGATTGGGCCATCTAGCCGCACCTTATTTACATTTGTTACTTGTTACCCGTTACGAATTACCTTATCACAAAACTATCTGTTACCGATAATTTCAGTGCTTGCAGAGAATACCTTACTGAAAACTGCTTATCATATCCTTCTGCTCCTCGTTGGGTTCGACACTCTTACTTATCGAAAGGACTATGATAGATCCCCTATACTTGTGGGTCATCATCTGCAAGGAGTGCCTTTCTAGTGCTATGCAAAGAAATAATCTTCCTATATTGATCGAACTTAGTTCGACTAGTGTAGCGAAGATGGCCCAAAGCAAAGGAAAATGATAGATATATATATACACCCACCTAGTGCGCGAAGTCAGCAGCTGCTCAGAAGATGTAACTTGTACTATTACTCATGGGCTACTGACTTGGAATAGAGCTAGTGTTTCTCTGGCGAACTTTGTTAGATTTGGTGATAGAGCCATGACTTGGATCAGGGCCACCGGAGATCCTGGAAATTGCAACTCATGATTGTAAAGACACTTTGATTGAGTAATTAAATTTTTGATTCTGAAAAAAAGATGCTCCCTCATTGCATTTCCTTGCGAGCCCTCTCATCCAACCAAAGGAAGCCACGTCACCGTGTAAAACAATCTAGTAAGAAATCTTCCGTAGCCATTGGTCGGCCCTAGACCTGGCCATGGGCAGCCCGGCCCGAAAATCCCGGGCCGGGTTGGGCCCGAACATGTCATCGGACCGGGCTCGGGCCTGAAAATTAAGCCCGACGGGTAGATCGAGTCGCGGGCCTATGAAAAATTGATTTTTAGCTATGGTCGGGCTGGGCCGAGCGGGCCGTGTCAGGCTTTTCCAGGTTCGGGCCTGATTTAGTAGGCCCGGTGGTCGGTCCGGGCCAGGCTCGGGCCTGGGTTTTCAGCACCGGGCTTTTTTTGGCCCGGCCCGAGATATGGCCAGGTATAGTCGGCCCACCAGTTCGGCCAAGCCTTGCCTGCGTCAGCTCATACGTACTCCCGTGTTCCATCAGACGCTGAGTTCGTCTTCGATTCCCATTTGCCTGCTTGATTGATTAGCTGGAATATAATCAAATCAAATCAAATCTAGCCTGTTCCTTTCATTGGAATACGGGTAGCGATCAGCGACCAGCTCACTCCAGCCTCCGAGTCCAACCGGGGCCGTACACTCCACTTTGACCCCACCGGTCAATCGCCTCACCCCACCTCCTCGATGCAGCCCGCCGCCTCCCATGTGACCTCCACCCTCCGCCGCCGCCTCCTCTCCGCCTCCCGCCGGCCTCCCTGCCTCGCCCCTCCGACCTCCCCGACCGTCTACTGCGGAGCCGTGACGGAGGAGAGGCACCCATGGAGCTCGCCGGCGACGACCTCGAGCTGCTCCCCCACCGCCCCGCCGCCGGCTGCTGCTCCCGCCCCCCGCCCCCTCTCCGCTCCCGTCGCCGGGAAATGGCCGCACCGCCAGCTCCACCGCCTCAACGTCCCCGACCACCAGGTGCCTGCTCCCAGACCCGCGCTCTATCTATCCCCTCGCTTGTGCGGATATATTTTCAATTTCGATTTGGGGACGAGCTAGCAGTTTCCGATACGATAAAATTTCCTAGACTAGCCTTGTGGAGTTTTTGTTTCCCTTCGTCGGTGGACTTCTCGAGAAAACCAAGTCTCCTCACGTACCAGCTTCTATGTTTCTGTGTAACACATTCGCCAAAACATTGCAGGTTGATGCTATGAGGGTAGGACTCCGAAGTCTGACCAGCACTTCCGCTTCAACCAGAGTCACCTACGGCCATAGGTGCTCCAATGCATATTCGACTTGTTGCGCCACAAAGCCAGAAGTGCTACCAGTGGAAACACGGGCATCGGATATGCTTGTCGATTCATTCGGGAGGTTTCACAATTACTTGAGGATCTCCTTGACTGAGCGTTGTAACCTGAGATGTCAGTACTGCATGCCTGCCGAGGGAGTCGAGCTCACGCCAAAGTCAGAGCTTCTGTCACATGACGAGATAATCCGAATTGCCAATCTTTTTGTTACTTCTGGTGTGGACAAGATCAGGTTAACTGGTGGAGAACCAACCGTTAGAAAAGACCTTGAAGATATTTGCTTGCATCTTTCTGGCCTCAAGGGGCTGAAAACTATTGCGATGACCACAAATGGCATCGTTCTTTCCAAGAAGCTCCCGAGACTGAAAGAATGTGGTCTTAACGCTTTAAATATTAGCTTGGACACATTGATTCCTGCAAAGTTCGAATTCATGACGAGGCGGAAAGGGCACTCAAAGGTCATGGAATCAATAGATACTGCCATACAACTTGGATATGACCCCGTCAAGGTATGCAGTTTTTCTGCATGCTAAATTATTTCAGTCCTTTGTTTTCGAATATCATTTCAAAAAGTAGAGATATATTCACTTCATACCATACATAATTTGTTGACATATTTCCCGTCATCCTTTTTCTGCTGCCAGATTAACTGTGTTATCATGCGTGGAACGAATGATGATGAAATCTGCGATTTTGTTGAATTGACTAGACACAAACCTATTAATGTTCGATTTATTGAGTTTATGCCATTTGATGGTAATGTTTGGAATGTCAAGAAGCTGGTCCCTTATGCAGAGATACTGGATAAAGTGGTAAGTATCGTGTTTGAAGTTAACTTCCTCTGGTACCATTACATTCATCCTCCAATATGCATTTTTTGTACTGTATATTTATGTAAGCTACAAATAATTTACTTTATGTGCGCCCATGTATCAGCGTCAACGTTTCAAAGGTGTAGAGAGACTTCAAGATCATCCTTCAGACACCGCAAAGAATTTCAAGATTGATGGGCATGTTGGAACAATTTCATTTATTACATCAATGACAGAGCATTTTTGTGCTGGTTGCAATAGATTGCGATTATTGGCTGATGGCAACTTTAAAGTGTGCTTATTTGGCCCCTCAGAGGTATGTTCATCTGCTTGCTTTGTCAATGATTTTGCTTTTATTGCCATGTGCATCTTCTCTATGGATATGTTTTTTCTTGGAATTTTCACTCGAGTGGTAATAGCATTACTCTTTTGGGGTTTAAGGAACAGGCTTAACAATTAATTAGGTCAGTACGCCAAATAGTTCCTGATCACTGTACTTTTCTGGAATTGTACTGGTTACAGCACTAAACAACCAGTATTAATGCTTCACAGTGCTTTCCTTGAATTGTGCTGGTTGTAGGATCAAATTAAATGGTATTAAGGCCATCCAAGTTTTAGGAAGTTGTGATGACAATTTGCCTTCCTTGTTTCGGACCCATCTCATATTGAAAATGATGTATTCAATTTAATTCTGAGAAATTGTTTAGTGTTCCTGATCCCATAAGCAACCAATATTTAACTGTCCATAATGTTGCATCACTGGTTTTTAATAAAAATATGCAGAGCTTAATCAGTGTCAATGTGTGATCATCCAATTTTATAGATGTATTACAGTTTCCCTTTTTATGCAATCGTTGATATTTTTCTAACCTAGAGTAATAAGGGATTCCTAGGAGAATGAAAGACGTTTCTGACATTTTAAGCATGATAACTTTCTTCTGTATACAAAGGTCATTTGATTTAAACGTGATGCAAATGGGAGATTTGAGTGACCTTACTCATGTGCTTGTTTATTTTTCTTGCTTTTGAAGTTCACTTTGTCAAAGATCAAGTATGCGGTGTCTTAGGCCTGAGAGTGAAAGAAGTTAGGACTATGGTATACGCTATGCTACAAACGCTAGGTTTATGTGCTGTTACAACTTACAAGTCTCGTTCGTTCGATGTACTTGCATTCCAGAAGTCCTTTTATTCCACCATGTATATATTTCTGAATTTCGTTCTTTCTCTGCAGTTATGTTTTCTGTATATGTATTGACTATAATGAACAGAGGAAAATGGATCTTCTGCAGAAAATAAAATTGAAATAAATGCTAGTGTCCTGACTTCTGCAGGTGAGCTTGAGAGAGCCTATTCATTCTGGTATTGATGATGCTGGACTGAAGGAAATAATTAGTGCTGCGGTATGTGGAGAATTTACTTGGTTGCCATCTTTTATATGAAAGAATTATGTGTTTCCTTTTTTTTTCTATTTGTCAAATGTGGGATTTACTTAGGCGATTTGACCACTCATTTCCTTCAGGCAAAAGTAGTTTTGTTTGTTCCTTAAATGCACTGTTCCATTGCATGCCAACAAAACTGAAAGTTAGAAGTTTGCTTTTCTTAGAAAAAATATTATCTCAGACCAAACAAGCACTGGTTTCAACAAGTTCCAGAATCTCGGACCTGTAATATAATCTCGGACTGTTTTTAACATAAAAAAAAGGGCAGCCTGGTCCATGTAGCTCCCGCTTGCGCAGGGTCTGGGGAAGGGTCCGACCGCTTTGGGTCTATGGTACGCAGCCTTTCCCTACATTTCTGCAAGAGGCTGTTTCCAGGACTTGAACCCATGACCTCATAGTCACAAGGCAACAGACTGTTTTTAACATCACATTCTGAATAATTTGACAAAAAAATTCCTCCCATGAGAAATAAATATCATAGAGAAGCTCTTTTTTGTGTTTTTTACCCAGAAAAAAATACCCATCCATATCTGGTTTTCTGAAAGTGAAGTGTCATTATTAAAAACAGCGAAGTAGCAATATATGCTCCTGGTGGTAAACTAGTAATAAATGCCAGTGACCAAGCATTAGTGTTCATTAGTATTCGCTAGGGGAATCCCGTTATGTCTATTTACTAACCAAAGATGTGATTCTCAATAGCCACTTCCATGTGGGCAGGTTAAAAGGAAAAAAGCTAAACATGCCGGGATGTTTGATATTGCGAAGACAGCAAATAGACCTATGATACATATCGGTGGCTGAGGTATGCTCTAAGCCTTCTTTTACCTTCGATGAAAGAAAGGATTAGTAATACTTGTAACTGTTATTTTTCTTGGTGTTTAAACAAGAACAATGTTTTGTAGACTACCTAGGATCTTCTAGTTTCTGTCGCGTTTCTTAAGCTTATGGTGCTATATTGGAGCTGCAATTTTTTAATTCTGGCACAAGCAAATGCTGCTTCCCTGTTAATCGCAAACTAAAGTTATACTCCCTCCGTTCCTAAATATTTGTCTTTCTAGAGATTTCAACAAGTGACTACATACGGAGCAAAATGAGTGAATCTACACTCTAAAATATGTCTATACATATCCGTATGTGGTAGTCCATTAGAAATCTCTAAAAAGACAAATATTTAGGAACGGAAGGAGTAATTTTTTTCTTCTGTATTAGGAACCTAGGGAAGCACACATGTAAATTATTCAAATTCATTCGTGGTCTTGGATTGTTGCTAGCTCAACTAAAAATACCATGGATTCTTCTGAATACCTTTTGTAGAAGTACGAATTATTTGGCACTTATTGCATGCAAAGGTTAGATGCAATATGCTGAATTAGGACTGGATATATTGTAGGACTGTAGAGACCCATTGGTACTCAATTCTTATCATTCACTTTTGTTATACCAGGATCAACGGCTGAGTTCCTTCTTCCCTGCGTGACAGCTAAGATAAATTGTTAGCTGGCTGTTGTTTTCTGACAAAGGTTGCACAGTTTAGCTCCAGAAAGGGGCAACTCAAAGGCAATATAGTTGTTAAAATATAGTACTATACTTGTGAAAGAGCATTTCAGAACCTCACACTGTTCAGACTTCACATGTTTGTACTTTTCACTGTATACGACAAAACAAACTGTTAATGTTGTATATTGTATCCTCTCAAATGCCAGTGTTGTAAAGTTGTACACTATTCCTTTTTTAATCTATTACTACTGTGAGTTCCTGCTTAATCCAGGTTAGGCTGGTAGAAACATATGTTTGGTTTGGTGATGGTGTGGTAATGTGGGATGTGGTTGCTATAATTGTAGCTTTTTTTTTCCGAGAAAACGCAAGAGACTTTGCGTTTCATTTCATTGAACAGGAAGACATCAGGGGTACAACCTCCAGAAAGGAGGGACACACACACACACACAAATACACGACCGTCCTCACCAAGCGACTACAACTAGGTGAGGAGGTGCCCTCAACTATAGACACGCAACGACATTAGGCCTCGCCCAGCAGGGCAGCGTCACTGCCATTGCCAGACAGCTCCAGGGACGATTGCAGCTCCAGGACTGCCCAGGCCAACGTACCTCTCACCCATGTGCCTAGAGAGTCGGCGGGTGAAGGGCAGGGCTCAACAGGAACTGGTGTAGCAACCGTTGGAGAAGCGCGGGCGCTGGCATACATTGCGATCCGCTCCCTGTGTAGCAGTCTACGCCAGAGCGATGCATCACCAGCCTCCATCTGCCGCATCAAACTCCACTTGCAGCCAAAGTAGCGCCTACAAGAAGGGAATGGCGCTGAGACGCCGCCGCTGCCCGGTCCGGGAGGCCGGACCTGGGATTTCTCCCGGTGCTCGAGGAGGAGATCTGGTCAGGGTCATGCCAACGCCTCCAAGGAGGTGACGGCACCCTCGGGCGTCGCCGTTGACAGCGCAGGCCGTCGCCGCGCGGGGATTTTGCCCCGACCCATGAACAGGGACCTCAGATGCAATGGCGGACCGGACTTGGAGAAGAACGCCGGAGAAGACCAGCACACATGGAGGGATGCCTAGGAACGTTGTAGTCGCAGGAGGAGCACCGACCGGCGCAGCGCCAGCAGGCCGGCGACCGCCGGGAGCGCGACGAGCAGGCGACAACAGCCACCTGCACCGCGCCGCCGCCGCGCCGGCCCGCAGCCTCCACCGCCAGGAACCGCCGGGGCACAGCAGAGCAGCAGCCGTCAAGGACTGCCGCGCGCGTGCTCACCCGCCCAGCGGCTACCACCGGCGGCGGCCGGGAGGGGTGGAAGGAGGGGGACGGGTGGGTTGGGGCAGAAACGCGCAGCCCAGATCTGGGCGCCCTCATCTCTGCAGCTCGCAGCAGCGGCCGGCCGCTGCCACAGCA